TGATTTCTTAATTTTGGGTTGGAAAAGTGGGGGTCATCTTGTACATGGGGGCGTCTTATTGACGGAAAAATACGGTAAATCCAATAAATAAGTAAAACTGATTCCACAAATTTGCCAGCTGAAATCTTTAAAACTTGGGGAGAAAGAATTAGGAGGGCATTTCAAAGTAGCAATCAAATCTTCAGATACACATATCATCAATAACTATTTTATTAACTACATTATTTCAGATACCGACCGATTCCAGAAGATGTTCTTTTACGTGCTTTTGAGGTTTGTATCATTCCATGTATGGGAAAAAAATTCTTAAACTTCAAGGCAATAAAATTTACATTCAGTGTTCCATTTTATAGGTTTTGGATCAGAATAAATCTGGACACCTTACTAAAGATGATTTGATAAAGTATATGACTGAGGAAGGTAAAAATATATTTGCTAAAACTACTTTGCTCAGGAAAAAAATCACATGCTATTACATGTTAGTTTGAGTGCATCTGTATGACAAAGAATATGCAGATATATTTAGCAACATATTTAGGATGCGGGAAAGGCAACCCAGAGGCTGAATGTGACACTACCCACAATCAGAAGCACCTGGAGCCCTACAAATTTATACTGCCCTTCGCCCCCAAAAATGTGCCCATTCCTACCTTAAGAGTAAAATCCAACCTCATAAAATAATGCTAATGCCTTCTAATTATCAACCCAGAAGGAAATTGGTTACATTATTTTGTATCTGGAATATTCGGTAAGTTCCACATTGTTTCAAATTTGTGTACCTTACCAAAAAAAAATTATATGTTAGTATAAAAAAAGAAAAGTATAAATTTCAATGCATTTCAAGTTCTATTAAACAGTACTGTTTAAGAAAATAATTACAAGCACAAAATAGAGTATATAAAAGAGAAAGGGGGAAAGAAAAGAAAAAGATGATGATGATGATGATGATGATGATGATGATGATTAGATTTTTATCCCACCTTTTTTATATATATAACTCAAGGCAGTGAACATACCTAATTCTCCTGCCTCCTATTTTCCAAACAACCACCACCATGTGAGGTGGGCTGGGCTGAGGGAGAGTGATTGGCCCAAAGTTACTTAGCTGGCTTTCACGCCCAAGGGAGGCTTAGAACTCACAGAGTAAAATAAATTTTGTTATTTTACTGTATATACTCACATATAAGCCCATCCACAGATAAGTCAACCCTCAAATTTTTAACCAAAATGCTGTGAAAAATGCATCACCTGTGGATAAGCCAACCCTTGAAATTTTTGTATGTTTTAATTTTCACAACTGGCTTATTTATGGTTAATCTAACACATCACTTATATTACTACAAGACTTTTCTCTTTTGGGGGGCCTTCGAATCAATTTTTGACTTCTGGTAACTGGACTAGTCCCTGCAGTTTTTTTGGCAAGGTTTTTCAGAAGTGGTTTGCCCTTGCCTGCTTCCTAGGGCTGAGAGAGAATGACTAGCCCAAGGTCATCCAGCTGGCTTCATACCCAAGGTGGGACTAGAACTCATGGTCTCCTGGTTTCTAGCCTGATGCCTTAACAACTGCAACAAACTGCTTTATAAATTTATCCATCGATGCATGAAACCATTAAGGAAACATCATGTATCTCTGTCTTACTCCCTGTTCAATCAATCAATCAATCAATCAATGGCAGATATTCAACTTAAATTGATTAATGCTGATCCAACTTCTCCAGTTATCCTGAGC